GGTTCAAGAGGAGGGGACAAAGTGTCTGGCATTGAGTCGCAAGTCATCAGGGAAACATATTTCACGAGACAACATTTTCCTCGCATTCGAGACCCGCATTCGATGCATGATTCGTAATGCTCCATTTATATTCGCATTTATAATCGAGAGGTGGGTTATTATTGGAAACCATCAGATCTCCACGTGAAAAGCGCCTTGAAAGGATCTGAAAATAGCCCCACAAAATGACACTACAGAAACAAGGTCTGGAAACAGCGCTAACGATATACAAAGATGCCCCGGATAATGGACGCCTCGCACAGTGATCTTTCCGCGTATAATCGTGCATCAAGAGCGTCCCTAAGTCGAATTGTCCCTAAGTCGAGTCTTGTTATCCCACAGACTTACATTATATAATTTTTAATTGGTGCTGTAAAGAAGAAATATTCTTCAGAATTCCATGAAAATTAATTTTGTTTGCCACTTGAATTTGATTCAGTGAATATCTTTTCAACCCAATAAGAACATTAGGAGCATTGAATAGTATACCACTGTACAGTTAATTGAAATGTTGGCATCTGTAAAAATAACACCCAAGTATAAAAATAATAAAAAGAGAAGGAAGTCCCTCTGTGCTACAGGTATTTTTTTTAATTAGCTGAATGGGTGGGAAAGTGATGGGAAAAGTACCAACGAATTTTTTTTACATAGATCTTACGGTTGGAAATATCTGTTTCTTGCAATTAAGCTTAATAAAAGTCAATTTTCTCAACATTTATTGGCAATTTTATCATGCAATGTCCTCATGTTGAGTCATTGTCCCTATGTCGGGCCTTTTTATTGATTTTTTAAAAATAAATGTCCCTATGTCGAATTGTCCACATGTCGAGGTGTCCGCATGTGGGGGTCTCACTACAGCATAGTGACGTAAGTGAGCAATTAACTTTCGAAACTCTGCGCTGATGCATTTTCCGGCAAGAAAAAAAATCGAGTTTCCTTTGCGTACGGAGTCCAACCGAATTCTCGACACATAATTCCTCTACAATTATTTCGTACATGAAGTCAGCAATTCATTTGAGACGGTGCATATATGAAATACTGAGATTTCAAGGGCAGGAGGAAACCTTGACCCGAGGGTCGGAGTCATGCGATCCCGCGCATCGCTAAAAATATCGCTCGTAATCATACCCGTATCTCATTTTCGCATCATCCATCAATGATTTCCAGCGATATGAAGAATCAAGTTTTCTCCCCCCACCTATTGATACAGGAGATCTGGTAAAAGAAAAAAACACATTAAATACATAAATCAAGGTGAACATAACATTTCACCTGGATTCTTCTTGGCAAGAATAACTCATCGCAGAAAGGTTAAAACAATCAGGAACTCTCGCACTTTCCTTGCTATTTTTTCCTTCTCAAAGTATTTCAGATTGCGAGCAGAAAAAGTTTCAGATTCAAATCAAAACTCTACCTGTAAAAAACTCTAATTCAAGTGTAGTACATGTATAATTAAATCAATGCGTGTAGATCAATGAATAAAGGCTTCCAGAAGAATATTTTTCGTTTCGTCAGGATTTTTATTCGATTGAGAGAATAATTGGAAATTTCATTTTACCCTCCTCGTCGAAGAAAATCTTCGAAGCAAAATAAGAAAAAAATGAAGAGGTTTTGCCTGAGTGAAATAGAAAATTCGAAAATGTCAAACGCAATATACATCATTTCAACATAGAAACTGTACAATACTTTGAACTTTTTCATGAGGCAGTTATTCCTCACAAGAAGCAAACGAAAAATGAACGATATTGTAATGAACAACTCAAAGGCTTTGTTTTGTTTTATAAAAAAATACGCCTCCCAACTAATGCGAGGAATATTTTGCATAAACTTGATTGCAATAACGTGACCGATAAACTGCGGACGAACCGCATATTTTTAAATCTCGCTTTTGCATTCTCGTGCTCATCATATTCATGATTTCTGCTTCAATGCGGATAAACACATGATACATGTTTCAACCATTGTAAACAAGAATGAGCGATGAAGTCGGGCAGACGAACTGATCGGTATTAAAAGATATCAGCACAACTATTTTCAAGGTGCGCCAATCGCGTGGTAGCGTGATGGATTGACTGACAACAAGCGTTCAAAGGTCTTATCCAAAGTTTCGTGAGTTGAGAAAAAAAAAACATTTAGAAGGATATAATCAGTAATCATATTTTTAGTTCCCAAAACTGTATTTTAGGATTTTTTTAAATCGAAATACCAGCAAGAGATGAGAGATTACAAAGTAATGGCCTTTAAGCATTGTTATTCTTCAGTGCCCATGCGTATGTCAAAAGATTTGATTCATTCCAAAATAAAATTTCCAGGGTGATGTGTTAATTTTCCAGCATCACTAATGGATCAAATTTACTTTCTGCCGAAACTCCTGATGGAATTTTGCGAATTTTTTGCGGCTTACGGCGTTCTTCCCACGTCAATGCAAATACATTTTCCTGGACTCTCAAAATTTGAAAAATTGGTGACAGATAATTGAAGCATGTATGGATTATTCATCACCAGTTTCTTCACATTTTCAAGTACAGGATTATTTGGGATAGCAACGAAACATTTTTCAAGTGAAAAAAAAAATCCTGGATGCTCTCTCATAATCAGCAGTCACGCTTTAAAACTTGAACCGAATTTTGATTCATTTTCCTCAACTGCTCCAAGAGAAGTCAAAAATCAACATGTACTCAAACTCTCCGAATAATATTTTGTAAAAAAAAAATTCAGTGTACTGCATTTTTCATTAATGCGGGAAGAATTAATGGCCGCAAATTTTGAACCATAAAAGAAGGTTAATTAATTCACACTGAACCTGAATATCCTCTGAGATTCCAAAACCTTACCGAAAACAAGTTTATCATAAAAAATCCCAGGGAATTCAAATCGGAATTGCACAAAGAAAAACCCGGCATCGATGATTCGCATACGACTGGTAAATATTTTTTTCTGCCAACCTTTTCCAATATGTAACCTACTGAGCTGATTATTGTTATACTTTTATTTGTATTTTCTTTTTTTTTGCTTGAACCGTTTCTCTAGAGAAGGACGTAAAAGTCACGCGGATTCTCGTTGACCCGTGCTTGTTCCGGGTCACGATCAGCGAATAAGTGCGAGCCCTTGAGTCTTTGTTCCAATGGGCGGCAGAACAAGAAGGGAAGGAAACACTTGTGGATCTTCAATCAAGTTTTCCCTCTTCTAAACTCTTCCGTGTAGAACTTGTTTGCTCGAATCGCGAATCACTCCAGAAAAGGAGAAACGTTCCAAAGAAATGAATTTCGAGGCACGTTTGAATTCGAGTTGCAACGAAAAGACGGAGAAAGACCCAGGAAAACAAAGGTCACATTTACGAAGAGTAAGGTCAAGTCGGAAGGTTTTGGAAGTTGTCGGTCAAAAAGAAAAAATCTCGAGAAAGGATTCCATCACAATTGGATCAATATAAGCGATACCTTTTTTTAATTTGGCAGGCTTTACCTGAACGTATAACCGCAGATTGAAAATTTTTTTTTCGTGAAGTTTCATTTCATCGAATGAAAACGGAAACAAGTTTTCAAGATCAATTTCGAGAGACACGATCACATTCAAATTGTTCAGGAATTGTGGCCAAAATGCAGACCAGGACAGCGCTTCCAAAAATCATTCCAGGACTTTCAATATTAAAATGCAAAAGTTTTCCTTTAATTGATATGCAGCCCAAAAGTGTGAGGGTTGATTCATAAGATAAATTGCGTAATTTTATATTTATCTGAGAAGACTGTATGGCAATGAGCCCACAAAGAATTCGAAAAAATAAAAATGAGCAATCCGCCGGGAAACACGGCAGGAAGATTCACAATGGAATCTTCAAAAGATAAGAATAATTTATATTTCACAAAGTACTAATAAGAAACTAAGCAAAAATGGACAAGATACAAGAATCGGGATTTTAAAATGGCACAAGAATAAGCAAACAAAGTTTTTTCAAACACAACCGAGTGCTTCAAAGTAAGGAACGTAATGAATGCTTCGTTTTTTGCAAAAGAGACCAAATTTTGTATTGTGCAATTCTCGGCAGCGGGAGCTTCCAATGGAATTTCCCGCTGCTGCATTCCTTTCATTCTCTTTATTCAAGTTTTTAATTTTGCCAGCTTAAGTATTATTGTTATTTTCATGACATGCCCTCTGTGCCCCAAAAAGACTAAGCAGTGCCAATTAGAAGGACACGATTTTTGCTCTTCTCATTTATCATGATGGTTCCTGGAGAATTCTTTCGCAAGGACACGTTTATTTTACATCAAAAGAACATCATTTAGTAACGGCCAGCGGCCATTAGTCCCGCGCGACTTGTACAAATGCGTATTCGAATCGAGCTTCGTTCAGATCTCGTACCCAATCAGGGTACGCCGGCGCAACGGCCCGCGCGCCAGCGACCGGCCATCTTGTGTAACGAGGGGCACGCCAAGCCCCATTCTACCTCGAACCTCCGACGAGTGCGGACCTCTGTTTTATGTGTGCGACAGTGTACTTATGTGAATAGACTTCAGTATTCCGATATTGGTGTCAACTCATTCCTAGTCTAACTTATCCTAGTGTGACTGTGGAGAAACCTTACTGGGGGCTCAGCCGACCGACGACGACCCGCCATGAACAGTGACCGCACTGAAAGTGAACCCCAACCGGGACCATCTAACGCGAACGCGTCACCGCAACCGGTAGCATCATCGCAGCAACGGGCGACAGCCAACCCATGGAATTTCCTCATGCTAAACGCCATACGTACGTACGCAACAGCGAACGGCATCCCGAACGCTAACAAAGTGCCACGCAATGAACTCATCAGCGCACTTCAAGCCAGAGGCGCAACGCCACTCAACATCATTCTCGGCTCACCGCCGGACTATCAAACGGGACCAGGGTCTACAGAACTGCTAGCATGATCGTTGCTGCGCAGACGCTTGGACTACCCGCATCAGTCACCCAACAAAAGTATTGAAATGTACCTACGACGCCTGGACACCGCCTTCAAACACGACGGAACGCCGAACTTCACACGAGTCGACTGCCTAATCGGGCACTCCCAGCCGAAAGTAGCGGAAGCAGCACAACTCCTATATGACCAAGGATTCGAGGACTACGACGTCATCGCGGAAAAGCTCAAAACCAGGTTTGGTCTATCACCATTTGAACACTTTACCAGGTTCCAGCAGTTCCAACTGGCGTCTGACGAGCTATTTTCACAGTTCGGTCCACGCCTACGCAACGAATACCTCCGATATCTCGCCTTACCACCCAACGAGGTCGGGCTACATGAGACCGCCATCACGCGGGCCCTTATCGGACAACTATTGTCCATCACCACTGGCGGGCTCCACGCCCAACTACATGCGCGGGCGACAGCCGACCGTTCCCTCACATGGGACAAATGCCTGGCGATAGCCGACGAATACAGACGGACTCATCCGGCTCCACCAAAACCGGCCGCATCACCGGCACCGCAATCACCCGCCAACCGCCCGCCCAAGATGACGGCATCCGGAGTCACAAAATACTACTGCAAAAATCATCAGCGGTATGTGTTCCACAGCACGGCCGAGTGCACGATGTCACGCACGAGCTCACGGGCATCCACGCTGTCCACAACGGCTAACGGACGCCCCCTGCAAAGCTGTTCATTTCATCCGGGGCGCATGGTCGCACATGCAACCAAGGAATGCCGAAACAATCCGGCGAACCAGGTGAATACACCATCCCCCGCACAATCAATTCAACCGACTAAATGCGTACAATGCGGCAATACAGGACATACCGCAGCAACATGTCCGGGAAACGGGAAGATCGGGCAGTGACGGCTGTCCTCTGCTCAATCCCCATGCCCACAGACGACAGCCTGACCATCATCATCACTATCAAAAACAAACGGGTGACTGCCCTGATCGACACCGGAGCGACAAAATCGTTCATGGCAACGGACGTCGCCGAGGAAGTCGGCCTGTCTCCGCATCCGACCCAAGCGAGGATATCCGCAGCAGTTCTTCACGTATCCACGACCGTCAGTCACGCAGTGAGTACTGTTTTTACTCTTGGATCGGCCGCGTACAAAGCCACCTTCTTAATACTCTCCAACGCGCACTACCCTGTTATCCTCGGGCTCGACACGCTGAAGAATCTCCCTTTCTGCGTCACCCTCGACGGCCAGCGAGTTTTTTCCGGATTTCAGCTGATTAAACCTATTAACGAAGCCCCGACAGCGCCGATAGGCAAGGGCATCACATTTGTACATGGAACGCCCGCAGAGCAACAACAGATCGCAGCACTCCTGCGGCGCTACGCCCCTAACATCTTTCAGTGGAGCGGTAAACACGGACTCTTCCCGCAGCACGTTGCATTGCTACCGACCAACGGTGAAGACCCCGAACCCAGTCGCCACATACGGCTCTCGCCAGACAAGCGGCCATTGTTCCAACACATCATCGACAATTACACCCGCGCGGGTATAATAGAACCAGCCCAGTCCACCGTCAATTCCCCGGCCTTCCTGACGCCAAAAGATGACGATCCGAACGCCCCCGCAATCAAGCGGTGGCGCCTCGTAGAGGATTATCGGGAAATCAATAAGGTTCTACTGGCAGACAACTACCCAATGCCAGTCATTCAGGACATCCTAGATGCACTAGGGCGCCAAAACGCCTACTTCTGCTGCCTCGACTTGCATTTGGGATATCATCACATCCCCATCGCACACGGCGACCGCCACAAGACCGCATTTTCGACCTACACAGGACAAATGCAGTATACGGTCCTACCATACGGCCTCAAAACGGGACCCGCCATTTTTCAAAGGACCATGGAAACCATCCTGCGCCCGCATTTATACACAAAATGTCTGGTCTATATCGACGACATCATCGTCTTCGGCAATACCTTCGAAACGGTACTAGAAAACCTACAACAGGTTCTCAATACGCTTGCGTCCGCAGGAGCGTCCATCGATATCCGCAAATCCAAATTCTTGGCAGAGTCCATCAACTTTCTCGGTCACATCGTTGACAAAACGGGCACACGCCCCGCGGAAGAGCACCTCAAAGCCGTCCAGGCCTTCCCACAACCGGCAACCACACGCCAGATGCAGCGATTCCTGGGCCTCGTCACCTACCTACGAGCCCATGTGCCGACCAACTTTGCACAATTGGAGAAAGTCCTCCGACTAACAATCCCAGTCAAACCGGCGACAGCCATCATCTGGTCACCAGAGGCGACTGAAGAGTTCGAAGCGCTAAAACAAGCGATAGCAAATGCCGCTCGGCTGGAACGGTTTGACCCAGCATGGGACACCGAGATCCACTGCGATGCGTCCGCATCCGCAATAGGGGCCATCCTTGTCCAAATCGACCCAGAAGGGCAACCCCACATCATGGAATACGCAAGTCGGGTCCTAACCCCCGCGGAAACACGCTACTCCAACACGCAGCAAGAGCTGCTGGCAGCGAGAGCTGCTGGCAGCGGTCTGGGCGATGACCAAAAAATTCCGCCACTATGTCGAACATCGGCACTTCAAGATTATAACGGACCACAAGGCCCTCCTCGGGGAACTGTCCAACACACGACTCATCAGCCTCAAGATCAAACTGGAATCATTCAGTTACACGCTGGTACACCGACCGGGCAAAACCCTAACGGGGCCAGACGCCCTCAGCCGCATTCGACTGAATACCATCCAACTCAAGGAAATACCAGACGAATCCGAACACCAGGACATAATCGATGAATACCACATTGAAATGGGACACCCTAGCTGGAAACGGACGTTCCACCAACTACGCCAGCGATACACCTGGCCTGAAATGCGAACGCAAATATTTAAGAGGGTCGCCGAATGCACAAAATGCTTCACCTTCAACCCGGCGACAGCCACAGTGGGAACGCACCTGGAAGCCGTCCCAGCCACCGACAAACACAACCGCCTCGGGGTAGATTTCTGGGGACCATTCCCGCCGTCACAAACGGGCAACCAATACACCCTCGTGGCCGTCGACTACTACACCAAACACGCCATCGCGCAACCAGTGAAACGGGCAACAGCCAACGCACTCTGCAGCTTCATTGCAGATGTTTTCGCGCAGCTGGGATCCTTTGAAATCATCCATTTGGACGGCGCAGCGGTCTTCTCATCCGCAGCATTCAAACGGTTCACCAAGGCAAACCAAATGGAAGTGCACATCGCACAACCATACCACCCAGAGGGCAATGGCGCCTGCAAACGCACAATCAAGTCCCTAACCGCCATCCTCGCCAAAACAGCACCAAACGCTACCTCATGGGACCAAGTCCTGTATGAAGCCACCATGGCATACAACCGGACGCCCCACTCTACCACCGGGTTGTCCCCACTTGAGCTGTGGCACAAAAAACCAATGCCGACGCCAGCAGACATCAAGTTCAACGCCCCGCCCAGGGACATACCTTACTATTTCAAGGTATCAAAAAATTAATAAAATCCCTTTTTTTTACCAACTGGTGAAAGAAAACAAATTTCAAAAAATTCCAAGGCTGAAAAATCATCGAGAAGCTTTGCCTCAGTCGAAGTACAGTAGCTCGTATTTTTCCATTCGCGCGGAAATCAGCAAAAAAAAAAAAGATTGAATGCAAATAAAAAAAATTTCACTTGAAGTACAAAATTTTCCAATGTGTACATTTAAAGTGTATTCCAAGTAGTGCCATTAAAATATAAATTGACTAACTTTTTCTGTCCTCAGACGGACAAGGCGTGTATCGGCCAGACGAGTGCATCGACGAGGGGTCAGGGTTGCCAGCTGACGCAGCAGCAGCAGCAGAGGATAACGAATTCACCACGGGATTGTCCCGATAGAGGGCGCCAGCAAGCGCCACAGACAGCACCAAGCACACCACGAACACTGCCACCACGGACACCACCAGCGCCTTCTCCAACAGCGTGCGTCTGCTCCACCAGCTGGGGATCCTGCTAGCAACAAAAATAAATGCAAAAATTTCTAGTCAAAAACATTGTAATCATCTGAATAATAATGCCTTATTATCAAAGCAACTCATCCATATATTGGCGGCATGTGAGTCTACGAAAGGGTTTCACGAAAGTTCTCTCGTGTCGATTTCAAGATTTCTGAAGGGAGAAACTAGACTACATCAGAATAAATCTCCGAGATGGATGCCTCGTCTTTTGAATAAAGAGCAGAAATCTGCGTCGGCGACTTTTCGCAAAAAATTCCCAAACTATGTCAAACAGGGCTACATTTTTTTTTTCCTGCATCAAATAATAAATTTTCTGGACAATGATTGTTTGTCAGCTCAATCCTACGTCATTTCAATTATTAGACCGAGAACTGTTGTTAGAACCCCTTGTATACAGACCACATCCCGATATTTGGACACCCTTGAAAACGTTGAGAAAATGCTGCAAAAATGTAAAGAATTGAGAGAATGAGAGGAATGTGACCGACGCACAAAGAAAAACGGAACCAGAAATATTTGGTCCGGGAAATTTCCTCCAACAGGTTGAAATACATTGTTTTTAATTGACAGCCAACAGGATGTCCCCGGAATATTACCATTTACAGTACTTGATTTAAATACTCATTCGGATTCCGAGATACTCTGCGCTTCAAATTAAACTAAATTTTTTAAAATACTGATTTTAAAAAAGCATAAATTTTACAACCTCAAGTCCTCAAATACGGCTGCCATTCCACTTATTTTAGCGCGCAGTTTTCCATGCATCATAGTACAATATTTATCTCTACCAGTAAACTATGCTTCAGGGTGAAATCTGTAAAAAGGAACATTTTGAGTGATTTTGCAAAAAAAAAAGAGAATGAGTCACATTGTGAATAAAAATACGATTCACCTCCCGGAAAAAAAAGCAGGCTGATCTTTCTAATCATACCACAAGAGAGCCTGTGGTACGAACATTATAATTTATCAAAGTGGGCTTCAAACATATAATAAATAATAAATAAATAAAACGTTCTGCTCTCAAATGCCGAGACCAGAAAAAAAACTACCGTCCTTCGTTTCGAGCAACGTGAAAAAAGGGTACTGTACAATAAAAAGGAAAGTCGAAAAAAATGCTTCCCCATAGTACATAAAGAAAGCTAAACCACAGAGCGATTAAACGAAACCGGTGACCGGAATAAACCACAGGTAAAAAATAAAATAAAAAAGTAGAAAGAAAACCTACCCAAAAACCAGGAAATTGGTCACGAATTCACCCTTATCTCCCCCAAGGTTATGTGTTTACTTTCTTGAGAAAAAAAGCAACAAAAAAATAATTTCCAATGACAAACCGAAGTAGTTCCTGGTTTCCTCCCACTTCGATCAACGAGACAAGAGAGTAGCTGATTGTTCGATTCTAGCGGATATCGGCTCTTATCGAAGACAAAAAAACTCAATGGACACTCGAAAATCGGAAATAAATGAAAGAACTTTTCAGTCAAATGGAATGATTATCAGTTTAATACCATCACCTGAAAAATACGCCTTGGATTATTCCCACGAAAAATCCGGAACGACGGGTAAATTAGATCAAAACGTCTCGCTTTTGGTTCAAATTGGTTTCGCGAGACCATTTTTTCGCACGCCGGTTCGCAATGATATTTTTAAAATTTTGATACAGTACTTCTTTTTCTTTAAATTACCGCACATATTTCATCATTGAATAGACATAATGAGCATCCATCAGCAATTTTTTTTCTCTTTTTTCAAACTTCAGCATTTCCCATGAATAATAAGATTAAAAGCTTACAGACATGCTTTTTTCAGACTTGGATGTGTATTTTTTCGCAAACGCATCAGTCACTTTAATTTTAATTACCGAATAAATGTTTTATTGTTGGAATGTCATGATGTTTAGGAAAAGAAAAAACGATAAGTCTTTAAACACCATATTTATCAAGTTTTCACATTTCAACTTCGTCAATCCCGTCTTACCTGAATCCGAATTCAAGCAAAAACAAACCGATCAACTCAAGCCAGCCAACAGAAGATATTACAGATTTATCAGAGAAGAAAATCAAGTATGAGCGTTTGATATTCATCTCAGAAACAAATTCCAGCAAATTTAGGAAATTAAATGTTTATACAAGTGTACTCTTTCTACAACAAAATTCAGGGGACCAGAAAAAAAATTTGCAGAGAATCTCAACTTGATGTGCAGATAAATCATTGGGAACTCAAACAAATTCGTTTTGCAGAGAAAATCGTTGTGGAGAGAATTTATTTGAAATTTTATAAAAATTCAGGGGAAATTCTGTTGGGGAAAAACCGGCTCGACCTTCTGCCACGAAAGCTGACAAATATTAATTTTAAAAATTAAGCACTCAAATTAGGCTTTTTCATTTATTTTTAATTGAAATTAAAGGCAAATAAATTTGAGCAAAATTTTTCAATCCTATCAATAAAAAAAATCATTCAGCAAATAATGAAATTGACAAAAGTATCTGATGTGGCAGTTTTAGTTATTGTTTTATTCCTTTTTCAACCGAAGAAAACAAAGGCTGAAAAAAATTGAAAATACTGTGCATCTTATTCTCACGTACGCGGATCTCAGGTGTGAGTATCCGTATCCGGTCGGCGTGCGATCAAAACGCATGGCCGACGCCCCCGACGACGCACACAAAATGTGTGTTGTTTCTTCTCAAAAAGTCCTGGATAAAATTTCACAAAAAAAAAGAAACCTCACTGCGAAAAAGTGTTGCCAAAGGATGCGGAAATCACTACGTTTCCGGTTGGTTTACAACCTCGTTTCGCTCAAAAATGAGACAGGTAGTCGCGAGGATTTAAACAAAAACAAAAAAAACCTAGGAAGGCAATGAATCAAGTCAGGCGATTGATTTTATAATTTGAAAAGAATACATTTTCACAGGAACATACAAGTAGTTTTCATTGTTTATACTCCAAAATTATTCCAGGAGAAAGTATAAGAGAGTGAGCAACAACTGGACAACAAGGAAACGTCACGATCACACATTTATCCAAGCAATTGTGTCCACGAAGTAGTTTTTGCGAGGTAAATATGACGAAATATTTCAGAATGGTCTTCAAATTTTTGTCTCCAAAACATCTTTCTTGCATTCTTTTCTGTGGAGCTCAAAATGTGATCGAGTTGTGGTGACAGAAACCAAGGGACCCATTATGGGTTCCTCATCAGATGCGTCAATTTTTGCAAGGCGTGGTTTAAATGCTGGACATTTTCAAATTTACTGAATTATCTTTTCAATTCTTCAAAACTGTTTCGGTACAAAGTTTAAATAAATTGTAAACAGTGCAAGCATCAACTGTAATGAGTTCTGTTGGTCTCAAGCATTTTCGTAACTTCTCTCTCTCACTTGGAGCACTATTTTGAGAGGATGAAAGGTTTGAAAGTATAAAACAATGTTCAAAGATATTCCTGAAATAACGTAACACAAGATATTTGAAGAATCAACAAAGATAAACAACCTGAGGCCACACGGGATAGAAACAATCAATGAACAGAAAACATCTTTGCATGGGACCAATTTCCATAATTATTTGTTCTAAAACATTCATTAAACGACCCAAATAACAGACGAAAGAAAAAAAGGCCTTTCAAAAGCTAGCGAAGTTCAACTTTAAATTGAGAAAGCGTCTGAAGTGTAAATACTGTTCTCAATTTGAGACCAGATTTCTGTAATTACAGTACAGTAATTGTTTCAAAACACCACTTCGACGAAACGCACTTAATTTAATTTAAAGAACAGGCGACAGAAAACCGGAATTTTTGGAAAGCCGGGGAAATTGAACTTTAAATTAAACAGACATCCAAAGCATAATAAATCAACTCAATTTTTAAAAATTCAGTACCAACAGGAAATTTTGGGTCACGTTCGTCTGAATGTTTCCGCTAAGAGACTAGCAGAGTAGGAAGTGTCAGGGCATGACACCGGAAAAACTAGTGAAACATCACTGATTCAGCTTCCGGTTCCGCCCAACTACAGACAGGGAAGTACGGCATTGGGCATTAATGACACTGAACAACAAAAACGAACGCATTATTAACCCTGAATTTATCACGAACGGTTTTGTAATAAATCCACGAGCAACTCGTGATATCTTGTCTACCTGCGAAACTTGTCCGCGGATGGACAAGGTCAAGGTATACTCCAGTAATTTCACTTTTCATATAAATTTTAAAATCAGCCATGCTGAACCGTTTTTTGAGTGCTTCTGTTACAGATAATCGATAAAAAGCTTTCCACAGTGAAAAGTATGAAATTATGGTAATTCAACAGATGATAATGATCATGGGAAAGTTACATTTTTACAATTATTTCCTGCACTAATTTATTTGTCTTCCCCAATGAAAGCAAAATCAAAATGTATTGGATGTCCGGGAGCGATGCAATTATCAATCGGATTCATAATTCGCTGTGACTAATGTCAACTTTTTCACCACCTCACATTTAATTGACAATCACTAGGATCGAATACCGGAAAATTCCACAAATAGAAACTAATTGTCATTTTCAAAATCCTTCATAAACTCGAATTAAGTCCCTACATCATAATGGACAGGAAGATGCCACATCGAATATAATAGGACTCGTATACGAGTATATATTTTTTTTAGAAAACATTACAGCATACATTTCCTCACACGCAATTCTTACACCAATTATTAAGTAGTAGGCGAGAAATTGAAGACAAGAATTTTCCAGTTTGAAATCGAACTTCTTCGCAAGATCAATCACTAAACTGAAACCATAAATATGTCACAGAAGGAAAGTTATTGCAGAAATACAGTACATAAATATTAAACAACTTACAGTAATTGGATGAAAATCAAACAATCGCTAAACAATTTATCCCATGTTTATAACATTCAAGCTGTAACAATCAGGTGCTGTTTTTCCACAATATAAAATCGAACCAATTTCTAAAATAAATCCCTTAAAGCGGAACAAGAACCAAGAACAGACCCAGAAAAACCAACTGT